CTAATAGCGTTTTCGATTGGGCAAAAGTTAGTGCGCACCAGTGCGCACTCAGTTCACACCAACACTGGACGAGTTCCATGGGTTGCACTGAATAGTGCAAGTTCAAAAGAATACGCCAAAATTTTCAGTGCTAAAGCTGAAGTGCCATTTCGAGTTGTAGGATTGTAAATGTTACAAAACCACAATAAAAGATATTAAGAGTAGGGACAAGACCCCGTTTTCAATTCAACTGCGCAGATTTGCTTGTCCCTATGTATATCCTTAACAGTGATAAAACGTGCACTAAACTGGCACCGCCAAAATATCTCGTGCCACTTAGTGCGCACTGAGTGCGCATTACGCGAGTGTCGTGCGATCAAATGAACACGTGACACTAGCCAAGTGCGCATTGGCACTGCCAATCGAACACGCTCTTGACACTGAGTGCAGTCAGTGCACCCCAATCGAAAACGATATAAGTCGTTTGATGGTGAAAAATTTACATGAAAGTATATCATTTACTCATGAAAAGAGGACATATAACCATTCACTGAAAACTCACGTGAAAAGTTTCACATTGCAAAAATTTATGACAGAGAAATATATTTATGTTATAGACAACTAAATCAACGTTAAGCAGTATATCTTTTCAAATTAAACCACGCGTTAATTAATACATTACGAATCGTGTACCATGCAGAATGTAATAAATCTTTTTCATTTTTCACGTAAACATTTTCACGTGAAATTCGTAATGTGAAAAGTGAAAAATGAAAAAGTTTCATGATCGATACCGTGATGCCAACACGTGTGCGAGAGAGAAAGGTATAGAGTAATATTTGCGCAATGCGCATGCGTCAGTATCATCGTCTGTGTGAATTGTACAGTTGTAGTGTTCTCACACAGTGAGATTCACTTCGTATGTATGTACATACGTTCGTAAGGCCGACATAAAAACAGCATAAAGTAAAAGTAAATATGCCGAGTAATAGTAAATATTGTTTATTGTGTGGTAATCGCGGAACTACTGCAGTTTCTTATTACTCGTAAGTTATTGTATGTAATATTTTATTAAGGGTACATTCTCGTCAATTGGGTCAAATTTTGGTCAAAATTTTTTTTTGCGGAATTCGATAGCTATAACTGTCTAGAATATCATGTTAAAAAGGGTAAATCGAAATTCGTAACGGTTCAAAAGTTAGGAGCCTCCGAGCCGACCGCGTCAAAGCAGGTAGCGAGCGTCGCGCGGCACAGGTAGCGCCGACCATTTCACTCAAGGTTTTATATTTTTGGCTTTAGATGGAGCCTCTTTACACTGTAATATTGGGAATTACACTGGTGAAATCAGTTTTATAACGTACGAGTATTTCGTATTTATTTCTTATTTAATACATATTTCATATTTATTTCTTATTTCTTATTTTATTTATTTCATATTTATTTCATTTCTTTTGAAAAGGTTTCCGAAAAATAAGAAACTTTGTAACAAATGGCTATCAATTTGCAGAATTGATAAAGATTTTCTGAGCACAACCACAAAATTGTGCTCTAATCATTTTGAAAAAGATGATATCATCTTTAAGGCCAAAGGTTCGATTTTGAAACCCAATGCTGTGCCATATATCTTTATCAAAAAGAGAAGAATAGAAGTTATGAACGATGCACACTTGGCTCATGTAACTGCAGATGTTACTATTTCTATTAATAATCAAAGCTCCAATAATGTATTGAAAGGTAAACAGTATTTGGATTCCAACAACGTATCATTAGAAGGTACAGTTTACTATCTTTACATAAATGCAAGTCTTTCACTATAATGGATCGCCACTAATAATTTACTTGATGACTAATTCTCCTATAGAAAATAGTTCGGTAAATCGGCCAACCACACCATCAAATTCTGGTCATATCGAACTCTTTCAAACGCCGAAGAAAGCTGTACATGTACCACGCTATGTAGGAGATATCAGATCGCCACAACTTTCGACACCTAAAAAAGCTAAAAGGGCTTTAAATGTGGCAAAGAGGACCATTCAAAGGTTAAGAAAGAAAATTAAAATGTTACAGCAAGATCAAAGAAGATTAATAGCTCGCATAACGACGATGGAAGGCCTAATCAAACATTTAAAAAATAAAAGTCTACTGTCAGAAGTAACTGCTGAAAATTTAATGGTACCTTTACATCATGTTCCCACTTAATCCCGAATTTATTTGTATATAATGTAGAATTTGGATTGCAGAGCAGTATTCTCTGAAGCTAGATATATTTAAATATCTAGCTTAAGATTGGCTGCGTTCAGCAGACTGAACAGTTTTGCAACCGTTTTGTGATTCTTCGCTGAAATAGGATTATTCTTTTAAATCTAAAAGTATAATCCAATCAGCGCGATGAATCATAAAACGGTTGCAAAACTGCTGAGTTTGCTGAATGCAGCCATTGCATCAAATATTCATCATAAATATTCTGTGCTGTCTGGATATGTTTGTATACAATTATCTCGACGAGGTAATTGTATATATAT